TTTCCTTGGCAGAGGGTTGGACTCAATGATCTTCTGAGGTCCCTTCCAACCCTAAAATCTATGAAATCTATGAAACTATGATTTCCTTCAGTGCATAACACCAAAAAAACAGCCACAAGCTGGTGTCTGAGAGTTCCCAGTTTTAGTTCATTTCACGACCAAGTAATGGCAATACCTGGTAGATTTAGGAATACAGACTCTCAACTTCAAGCAGCACAGATGGCTAGGCTGACAAACAGCTTCATTCATATACATGAGTTATAAGAGTGTGAGCCATTGTAATCTTAAAATATGTGCGATATCAATTATGTTTGATTACATTTAATTATTAAATTGTATCCTTTCAGCTAGACCGAGTTCACAGGAACTCAGAGCACCACAGGAGAGGCTGAATAGCAAATAGCCAAAAATTACTCTATTTTCTGCCAGCTACAGCCTCTTACTTCTTCCAGGAAGCCCTCTGGTGGCCAGTCTGAAAACATATGTAAAAATACACACGTAACAACAAGACCTCCTCCTCCGTGAAGAAGTGACAACTGTAAAATGTTGATCTGATCACTCATTAAATGGCAACACAAATTCATATCAATGCAATCTTCTCCACAATAATTTAGTATTTAGAGAACTGAACAAGGAAGGGGCTAGCCTGTGTTATAGGCTTGAATTACCAAGATTGACTCAAACCTACATCTCCAACTGCAAGGCAAGTGTCTTGACTACTAGACTATTGAAAAGGCTGGCTGAAAGCACCTTCCATCTCTCTTGCTAAATCTGTCCCCTGGCCAGCCAAGAGTGAGAGAGTTATGGAGCAAGGAAAAAAGGGTATATAACTGTAGGTTAGTGACACAGGTACTCAGCTGAGATGGTGGCTTCCTCTTTGCTCCCAGAACTGTTTATGTTTTGCATTAAATGGTCATTGGATAAATTAGATAACTAACATTAGAAGAAGAGACTGGAACCTAAACCCCCACCCCAGTTTATTTATTTTACTGTTGCTTACCAAACAGCACAGATAACCATATTGCCAATATAGCTAAAATCTTTAAATAGTAACTCAGTACTTATGCCTGTTTTTTTTTAAATAATTATTTTTGGTTTTAAACACATCTGTTAAAATTGTTGCTGTTTTTATTTGTTTTCCATTTTATTTTTTTTATTTGTATTTAAACTTGAGGGAGAAATTGAAACCTGAATTTTAGCAATATTTTGGATATGTTCATAGTTGTGTCATATTTGTTACTAAATGTTTTTAAGAACAGAGTGCTTTAAAGGACACAAGGGCCTGGCCTATTGTGGTGTGTTTGATAGGTCTAAAATATAACATTTAAATGAATGTATATGTACTTAAAAGACCTACAATAATATGGCTTATGACACTAACTTAATAATACTGTCACATTTTGTTTCACAACAGTTTTTATGTTGGGATATTTCATCAAGTGAGTTGAAGCAAATACTGTACAATGTTATTTTATATTTTGTCTCATCCTGGCTCTGACATGCATGCTTTCTTAACTCAAACACATTGCATCCACAAACAGATTGATGCCCCTTTCTAGAGCAGCAAATAGTTTGTGGGCTTTCCAAGTTTGGGTTTCTTTGTGAAATCAGAGGGTTGAAATGTTGATTATAAATTCCACCTTTTAAGTGACCTGTGGAATGGACAGCATCTGAGTCTAAACATCTACTTTAGGCTTAAACACAGACAGTGAAGCTATGAAGGAAATTGGAAGATATTTTATGGAGGCACACCCTGCTTTATTAGGACAAAAATTTAAATCAGGATGTGGGCATTGCTAGGTCCTCTAATTGTCCTGCTAAATTTGCATAATAGATTTTGTTAACTCTTTTTTTCCCTAAATAATTTTACTTTTATTCACAGAAGGGCGTAACTTTTTTAATAATACAAAATAAAGACTAGGTAATATATAGCCTAAATTGGCTTTAGAAACTGTAAACAAAAAAAACATTGCAAAATAATTTTGCTTTATGATGAGCTTCCCAAATTGTGACCTCGATTTTTGCTGTAATTCCCATTAAAACAAGCAGTTTTTTATTATGTTACCCATGAAATTTGCCTTTATTTTTACAGGTCATTTCCATCAACAGTAGACTTTATATAGACTTCATAGACATAGTACTTTGTGTTTACTTTGAGGGGAAAACTTTTATTCTTTAATAAAAAAACCCAAATTTATTATTATCAGTATTATAATTTATTATTATCAGTAGGTACTGTTTCTACAACTTAATAAATTTACTAACACCCATCTACAACCCCTTTAGACCTGAGGGGGCAAAATATATGCATGTATTTTTTAAAGGTATTTTTGTAAGTGTACAAAAAAGAGAATAAACTATAAGTATCCACTCTATTATAACTTAAAATATAAAAATGATGTGGTAGCAGCATTATTGTTAATTACTATCACTGTAACTTCATAAGTGTTAATAATTATCTGCACAGATTTGTTACAACAAATAAAAAAACAATACTTTATCTTTGGATAAAATGCAGAACAGCTACACAGCACACAAACATAACACTTGATAAGTATACAAAAATCACACAATACAATGTAAGTAAAACAAATCATATAATTTCCCATACAATTCCATTAGGCAAAGTTAGGATAAAAGGGAAAACAAACTTTGCTTAAAAATCTGTTGGGCTGTAAGGAAAAGGAACTTTTTTTCTTCTAAAATATATTCAGGTACTCTAGGTATTCATGGCACTTAAAACAAACTGTTAAGACTTAACGGTTAACAAATTAAAAAAAGGCAGTGTTGCATTAACTCCTACCTCTTAGTAACCCTACCAGCACAATGAGTTGTTTACACCCTACTGCCAAATAGAGTATTTTAAAACATAGTGATGTAAAACAACAACCATAAATAACCTATGATCACATCCAAGGTCATCTCAATCTTTTAAAAATATCAGTGATATATAAACTAGATTAGGCTGCAGTGATGAAATTACTGTTGCACAGGACATGGCTTGTAGAAGGGTATTGGAATGAAGCAAGCACCACTTGCATTTGAGCAGTAAATGGAGCAGGTCCGGAGGAATCGTCACTGCTGGATATCAGGTGCACTTTGATGCCATTGAGCCACGTCCAGGAGCTACTGAATCAACACTGGGAAAACTGAAGAATGTGTTAGAACAGCTTCAGCTTGGAAACCAACAGTGACACTGTGCCACGCACAGCTCCTTTAAAGGGGAACTGTGTTCCAGGGATACGTTGTTAGTAGGGCCGGGATCTGCACTGACCCAGGAAACATGATGGCTGGACCCTAGACTGCCTCCCCCAAGTCACTAAAACTCCCCCAAGTCACTTTAAAACTCTTTAGTATAAGATTTTTAGCTATTACCGTGTCTTGCTAGAAATGAGGCAGGAAGCGGGGGGCACCACTGGAGGAAGGGAAACCACTTTCTTCCTTGATCCGGCCTTCTGGAGGCAGCTTGTGTCTCATGTTGACCAGGTGCCATGCAGTGCGGTTTCTGCAGCTGCAGTCTGCACATTCAGAAACCTGAAGGGGAATATCGGGGAGTTTGTTTCATGCCTGACCCGCTATCTCAGGATCTGTGCATTCAATTCTGCGTGTCAAAGCTGTGTGTCATTTTACAGCTTCCTCTGGGTGTGCCTGTGTGTATGCACATGTGTTAGGGAAAGGGAGAGGGAGAGATGGCTATCCCCATTGATTGAGTTATTTTCAGATTCAGAAGACCCACCAACTGCTGCTGTGCTGGGTGAGCTTGTGATGAAAAGGGTTTAGTGGGCTGAGTTCTAGCCTGAAGTTCTTGTTGGGAGCATTTTGAGTAGGGGAGAGGTGCTCGGCATGAGTATATGTCTGTGTAAATATTTTTGTAAGCAGGAATCAGGACTCGTAGTAGAGATGATATGTTTTATTAGACCAACAAGATTTTTGCAAAAAAATTGATTTAATTGCAAGCTTTGGGCACAAACACCCTTCGTCGGGCATTGGAGAAAAGATTGTAAAAGTTTTCCTGGGTAGAAATGAAAGTTCATATTTCATAAGATTTCACAGAGGAGTCAATAGGTGGAAAGCTCCTCTGGGCAGTCAGTTCATAGCTGGAGGTGAGAGGCTCTACACCAGCTACAAATTTTTTTGCAAAAATCTTGTTGGTCTAATAAAAATATCTGTACTACGAGTCCTGATTGCTTTTTCCTCTAGACCAATATGGCTACAACCTGGATAGCTGACACTTTAAAAGCAGGGCACCTTTATGCCCTTTTCACCCCAGAGGCACATGGCAGTCTAGACCTGACAGCTGGCTACAGAGACTACCCCCTGATTAGGTCCCCATGACTTTGTTCATTGTACTGGCTAAGTGTTGTCCCCAGGTTAATACTATAATTTTGTTATTGTTTTGTTGCAAGTGTGTCTGACTGGGCCTGAGAACTGCTGAACAGGGAGAAGGTCCCAGGGCAGATAAAGTACAGTTCAAGGAAGGACAGAGGGAACTGGAATGGCACAATAAAAACTGTTTTGAAGCAGTGCTGCTGGAGACAAGTGGCACTCTGATACCTGTCTTCTTTAAAAAAAGAAGGCATCCCCCCTCCACTGCCTCTTTCCTGGGACCTGAGCAAAAAGAAGCAGCTCTTACAGGTAGGAGTATTACGGATCACTGGGGAAGCCAGGGACTGAGAGGAGCCAGGGTTTCAAAGCCAGAGGCTTTCCATTTGTGAAGTCATGCTACTGAAGGGGGTCCTTTCAGGAGACAGAAACTAAATAAGGCTGCTTCTTGGGGAATCCTGAGGAAGAGCTTTCCCTTTCCGCTCAAACGTGGCGGTTGATCCTTCATGACAGAGCAGTCGGGCAAGCTGGATAAATCCTGTTTGATATAAGGAGCAGGAAAGAGCGAGGGAAGATATCTGCAGCCTGGTCAGTGCTATTCACTATATTTGTTATAACACTGGGGGAAGCAGCTGTCTAAAGAAGGGATTTGCTACTTTATAGTCAAAATGGTTATTGATATAGAGGTTATTGCATGCACTTGGGTAGGTTGAGCTTTATTTGGGGCAGGTGTCACCCAGCTTCCATACCCCAATTTCCCTCCCATGTACATTCTAGAAGAGGAAACGCACAAAAGTAATCCAATATTTAATGCATATCCAGGATTAGGGGCTTGGTGAGCACACACCTGTCTCTGCAAATTCCTTGAAGTCTACACCAAAGCATCCACATAATTCTTCTTCTTTGATCACAGCACTGAAATGTATCTCTTATTTCCTTTCAGAACACCTCTAGAACTGGTCTGCAGACGAGCTCTCTCTTTTTCTGGGCTTGTTTCTACTTGTGGGCAGTACAGGCAGGAACTGGGCTACAGAAGGGCCAGGAATCAGAAATAGGGAACTGTGGGATTGCTTTTGGCATACTTTCTGTGCTCAAGACATTTAAGGGTTGATGAGTTCCAAACATAGTGCAGGAAGGAGATCAGTAAAGAGGGAACTAGGGTGGGGCTGACATTGTATGCAGTTTAGCACAGTACTGCCAGGCTTGGTTCATCACCAGGGATCCTGGTTTTCTCTGTTTAAATATTGCATATTCTCCAATTAAAACACCCCAAATCCGTGTATTTCCATGATTAAAATGAAACACCACTCTGTCTGTCTGTCTGTCTGTCTGTCTAACACAATGTTTATTGATATATTTATAATTTTAAAGCAGGTTGGAAGCCTACCAGTTCCTCAATTGCTATAATAAAATAAATTTTAAGTACCTATACATTTTGGTGTTTAATTTTGGGGTTTTTTTATCATGGAAAATCAGAATTTTTCCTGCCCCCTTCACTCACCAGGATGCAGGTCCACCTGCGGGTGTCCCCCATGCTGCCCTACCATGCCATTGGCCCTCACGCCCCACCCACAGCCCCGCTGGTGTCCCTCACTTCCCATCCACAGCCCCCCAGCTCTGCTGGAGGGCCCTAAGTTGCCAGGGCTATGGGGCCAGGAACCCAGATCCGCAGGCCCCTGCCCCCCATAGCAGTGCCCAAGCTCCAGCTGCTGCCCATGGGAGGCAGTGGCTGCTGCAGTGGAGTGCGGAGCCTGGTTCCACCTCCCATGGGCAGCATGGCCGGAGAGGAGCCCATGGGGGGTGGATGCGACCTGGATGCTGTGGGGTCAAGGCTCTCTGCTCTGCTGCCCTCCCCCCACAACCGGGCCTCCACGGCCCAGTGAGTGGGACCTAGTGCACCAGGGCAGAGCGGGGAGGCTTATGCCATTGCTGGGAGCCTTGTGCTGGCATGGCAAGGTGCTCCCTGCCTGCCCAGCAGCAGCAGGGGCACAACTCCACTCTGCCCCCCCACTGCTGTCAGGTGGGCTTGGGGTGCCTTGCCATGGCAGTGTGGGGTTCCCAGAGGTGGCATAAGCCTCCCTGCCCCATTCTGCCCTGCTATTCTGGGTCCTGCCTGCATGCACCACCCAAAACCAGAGCCTGACCAACCAGAGCCATGCTCCAGGTGTCGTCCAGGCTGCCAGATCACTACCACTGTAGCTTCAGGAGGCTCCTAGGACCACAGGTAAGGCTGCTGGGGCCAGTCCAGGTGCTGGACCCAGCCTCCCCTCCCCCTTCCCTGGGGCAATTTGCCACATGCCAGAGCATGCATGCAAGGGCATTCCCTGGGGACAAATAGCAGTGGCATAACTATGTGCCACTGCTACTTGTCCCTGAGGAAATGCACGTTTCCACTCATCTGCATGTGCCCAGTATGGCTAAGCCTCTGCTATTCTACTGTGTGCTCCATTTGCTCCCCAGAAGCAGCAGTGAATAAGTATTAAGTGGGTATCCCCAAGAGATGCAGAAGAGCAGCCAGAGGGGCTGGCCTCAGAAAGGGTATTAGCCTTGCAAAGTAAGTGGGGTTGGGACATTAACATCGCGGGGGGCTTTATCAGGACAAAGGTGTGGGGAAGATAGGGGAGATTCTCTTTTACATAGCAAACTGCCAAAGTGCAGCTTATGACCAACACTGCATCAAAGTGTAGGAAATATTCTATTACTCATTCTGGGCTTGTAAGTACCCGCGTTGTAGCACTAGGGAGGTGTCTGCATGTTTCCAGAGAGTGATACGATTCTTATTTCTAGTGTGGTGTTTCAAGAATGACTGCTGGACAGAGATGGGTCCATCTAATAAAGTGAAGGAAGAACATTTTCGCATATAGCTTTACTAACCTTGTGAGGAGAGCTTTAAACTACCTTCAGAAGGGGGATGGAGATGAAAACTGACTCATAAATAAAGATCAAGGTGCCCCAGATGAAGGCCAAGTAAGAGGAGGTAATTTGAGGAGTCTTAACAGTGTCTTCAGATGGAAATTGGCAGGGCAATTGGCTAGTTATCTAACATGTCTATGTACTAATGTGGAAAGTGGTGAATAAGCAGCAAGTATTAGAAGACCTAGGATAACCACGGAAGTATTATGTAATTGGGAAAGTGGAGACTTGTGGGATAGTTTGCATGTGATGAATAGCTATACCTTTTGGAAGTAAAAGGCAGGTGCTATTGCTTTTTATATAAAAGAGACATAAACATGCTCTGAAGTACATGTTAGGCCTGTGGAAAGTCTCTGGGGCAAAATAAAAAGGGAAGAACAGCAAAGGTAAAGTAGTGATGGGTGTTTGCCATAGACCACCAAACCAGGGGAAAGAGATGGATTCACTTTCCCCGCCTCCCCGCCCCCCAAATAAGTAACTGAAGTTACCAAATCACAGCATCAGGTGCTTGTGTAACAACTATGTAAAATGTAGCTACCATGCAAAAAAGTCATATAGTCTCTTTCAAGTGAGCAAAAACCATGTAAATAAAATATTATTAGGAAATATAAAAATCATAGTTAAATTTGCTGGAAGGCTAACACAACAGTGCACAGGCAGTCCAGCAAGTTTTTGGAATTTGTTGGTGGTAACTTTTTGAGACAGATGGAGAAGAGTCAACTGGGGAGGAGGGGGCAGTGGGAGCAGCACTCTTTTCACTTTGTTGCTTATGAATATGAAGGAATTGGTTAAAAATGCAAAGATGGCAGGAAACTTGGGTGATAGTGACCATGAATTGAATTGATTGAGTATAAGATCCTAAGGAAGGGAGGAAAGGAAGAACAGCAGAATAAACACACTGGAATGCAGAAAAAGCAGACTTTGACAAACTCAGGGAAGTGGTGAGCAGGATTGCATGGGAAGCAAGTCTCAGAGGAAAATGTGTCCAGAAAAGCTGGCTGTACTTTAAAGCAGTGGTTTTCAGCCTGTGTTCTGTGGACCCCTAGGGGTCCACAAACTATGTCTAAGGGAGCTGTGAAAGATAACTATGATCAGGAATGAACCGTCCGGACATGTAGGAAGATGAACAAATATGGCAGAAGATCAACTTGGATTAGCAGGGAACTCTTCGGTGAGCTAAAACACAAAAAGGAAGCTTACAAGAAGTGGAAACTTGGACAAATAATCAGGGAGGATATAAGAGTATTACTTGGACATGCAGGGATAAAATTAGGAATGCCAAAGTGCAATTGGAGTTGCAGCTAGCAAAGGACATGAAGGGTAACAAGGAGAGTTTCTACAAGTATGTCATCAACAAGAGGAAGGTCAGGGAAAATATGGGTCCCTTAGTGAATGGGAGTGACAGATGTTGTGGAAAAGGCTGAAGTACTCGATGTCTTTTTTACCTTGGTCTTCACAGGCAAGATCAGCTCTCAGGTAGCACAGTTTGGGGAGGAAGAGAGCAACTGATAGTGGTAAAAGAACAGGTTAGGGACTATTTAGAAAAGTTGGGTGTGTACAAGTCCATGGGGCTGGAAGCAATGCACCTGAGGGTGTTCAGGGAGTTGGCCGATGTGATGGCAGAGCCACTGGCAATTATCTTTGTAAACTCATGGCAATCAGGAGAGGTCCTGGATGATTGGAAAAGGGCAAATATAGTGCCCATCTTTAAGAAATGGAAGGAGGAGGATCCGGGGAACCATAGACCAGCCTGTCTCATCTCAGTTTCTGGAAAAATCATGGAGCAGGTCCTCGAGGAATCCATTTCTAAGCAGTTGGAGGAGAAGAAGGTGATTAGGAAAAGTCAGGCATGGATTCACCAAGACCAAGTCATGCCTGACCAACCTGATTGCATTCTATGATGAGATGATTGGCTCTGTGGATGTGAGGAGAGCAGCAGATATGATATACCTTGACTTTAGCAAGGCTTTTGATATGGTCTCCCACAACATTTTTGCAAGCAAGCTAAGGAAGTACAAGTTGGATGAATGGACTGTAAGGTGGATTGAAAACTGGCTAGATCATCAAGATCAGAGGTTAGTAATCAATGGCTCAATATCTAGTTGTGAAGCTGCTATTAAGTGGAGTGCCCCAGGGGTAAGTCCTAGGGCCTGTTATGTTCAATATCTTCCTCAGTGGCCTGGAAAATGGGATGGAGTGCCTCCTTAGCAAGTCTGCAGATGACACAAAACTGGGAGCAGTAGATATTCTGGAGAGTAGGGCCAGGATTCAGAGAGACCTTGACAAATTGGTGGATGGGACCAAAAGAAATTTCATGAGGTTCAATAAGGACAGGTGCAAAATTCTTCACTTAAGACAGAACAATCCCATGCACTAGTACAGGCTGGGGACTGAATGGCTAAGCAGCTGCTCTGCAGAAAAGGACCTGGGGGTTACAGTGGACAATAAGCTGAATATGAGTCAGCAGCGTGTCATTGTTGTGAAGAAGGCTAACAGCATACTGGGCTGCATTAGTAGGAACATTGCCATCAGACCAAGGGAAGTGACGCTTCCCTTTTATTTGGCACTGGTGAGGCCACATGTGGAGTCCTGTGTCCAGTTTTGCCTCCCCCACTACAGAAAGGATATGGACAAGTTGGAGACAGTCCAGCAGAGGGCAACAGAAATAGGGAGCTGGGGAACATGACTTCTAAGGACAGGCTGAGGGAGCTGAGTTTATTTTACATGGAGAAGAAAAATTGAGGGGAAACTTAATCCCTGAAGGGAGGTTCCAAAGAGGATGGAGCTAGACTGTTCTCAGTGGTGGCAGATGACAGAACAAGGAGCAATGGTCTCAAATTGGAAAGGACGTTTAGGTTAGGAATAAGGGAAAACTCTCTTATGAGGGTGGTAGAAAAGCACTGGAACAGGCTACTCAGCGAGGTTGTGAAATCCCTCTTCTTGGAGGTTTTAAGATCCAGCTAGACAAAGCATTGGTGGGACCATGTGGGGATGGTTTTGCTTTGAGCAGGGGGTTGGACTAGATGACCTCCTGAGGTCCTTTCAAACCATACTTTTCTATGAGCAATCAAAAGTATGTGAATATCCACACTTACAATTCAAAGGGGTCTGCACCTCCATTCAAAAATTTTAGGGGTCCATAAATAAAATAAAAAAAAGATTGAAAACCACTGTTCTAAAGAGACCATACTGTGGGCATAAAAGTAGGCTATCCCAGTGTGAAAGGAGGACAGGAAGTGTATGTAGCAAGAGACCAGCCTGGATAAATAGAAGACTCCTCAGTGAGTTGCGACTCCAAAAAAAAAAAAAAATCTGACAAAAAGTGCAAAATTGGCACTATTATTAAGAATCAGTGTTAAATAAGAGTATTGCACAGGCATGAGGGAGAAAAATCAGAAATGTCAGGGTATGAATTGAGATTCAGCTGGCAAGGGATGTGAAAAGCAACAAAAAAGCATCCTCTGTTGGAAGAGGAAGACCAAGGGAAGTGTAGGTACCTTTTTAAAAATGCAGAGGAGTATCTAATAATAGAGAATATGGAAAATGCTGAAGTATTTAATGCCCTTTTAACTTCAGTTTCCATGAATAAAGTCAACTATCAGATGAGTAGAGTTGGTGGTAAGGATAGGGGAGGAGATATACAGTTTAGAGTAAGGAAAGAAAAGGTTAGAGATTATTTATAGAAGCTGGATTTTTATAAGACTGCAAGACTGGATGAGATTTATTTTAAAGTACTCAAGTAATTTCAGACCCATGGCCAGTTTCTTTGAGAACTCATACAAGTTGGTTGTTGTCCTGGATAGTGGGAAAAAAGCACATATAGCATCCCTTTTTAAGAAAGGGAAGCAGAAGTTTCCAGGGAATTACAGACTGGTCTGACCTAGACAGCCCAAAAGCTCATGGAGCAGGTAATCAAAGCATATATTTCTAAGCACCTAGAGGATGAAAAGGTGATCAGGAACAGCCAACATGGATTTGTCAAGAGTAAATCATGAAGGACCAGTCTGATTTTCTTTTATGACAAGGTAATGGACATTGTGGATGGTGGGAGAACATTCTTGTAAGTTAAGAAAATACAGTTTAGATGAAAGTAATATAAAATTGATATGTAACAGGGCTGGCTCATTGTGCTCAAAAAGTAATCATCAACAGCTTGGTGTTTAAATGAGAGGAGGTATTGAGTGGGATTTTCCATGGATCTGTCTTGGGTCTGGTACCTATTAATATCTTCATTAATAATTTAGAGGATTGGATTGAGTGCATACTTAGTAAATTTGCAGATGAAACCTATCTGGGTGGCCTTGCAGATACTTTGGAAGTTAGGATTATGATTCAGAAGGACCTCAATAAACTGGATAAATGGTCCATAATTAATCAAATTAAAATTTAATAAGGACAAATGTAAAGCTCTAAATTCAGGACAGAAAAACAGCATGCACAAATAAAAGCTGGGGAATGGCTGGCTGTGCTGCAGGAAAGGACATGGAGATTATAGAGAACCATAAGGTAAAATTGAGCCAACAATGTGCTCTTGCAAAAAGGACAATAGCATGCTGGTGGTTTTTACTAACAGGAGTATCATTTCCAAGTCAAGGGGAGCAATTCTTCTATGCTGTTCAGCACTAGTGAGGCCTCACTTGGAGTACTGTGTCTGCTTCTGAGCACAGCACTTTAAGAAAGACATGGACAAATTAGAAAGCCTGTATTAGAGAACAACCAAAATGATTAGTGTCCTATGAAACATGATTTATGAGAAAAAATGGGAATAATTGGGATTATTTAGTCTGGAGAAAAGAAGATCAAGGAGGAAATCAATAACAATCTTCACATACAGGAAGGCTTGTTATAAAGGGGATGGTGATGATTACTATTCTCTGTTGTTGCAAGGAACAGGACAAAAGTTCCAGTCTTGAATTGAAACAGGTGACATGTAAATCAGATATTAAGAAGTATTTACAGACTGAGGCTGTTAAAGACTATAAAAAATTAGCTGAAGTTGTGGTGCATCTGTCTCTGGAAGTTTTTAAGAGCAGGTTGGAGAAATACTTGCATGAGATGGTTTGGATAGGAATGATCCTGCCTTGAGCAGAGGATTGGATTAAATGACCTCCTGAGATTTCTTCCAGAGCTATTTTTGTATTATTCTAAATCAGAGCTTTTTACAACCTGTCTTTGGTTGTCCGCAAAATAGAATTCTGCCAAAACTGACCTCCTGACATCATGCTTGCAGCAGAGGGTGGACAGCAGGGAACCAATCTTAGGGTGCCTATACATGAGCTGGGAGGGTGCTTTGATGCACTGTAATTACAGCACCTTGGAGCAGACTTGATTAATTAAGTCTGCTGGAGCATGGTAATTACCACGCTCCAGCAGCCTCCTGTGTCTTGTGTATCAGGATCCCCGTGCTTAGAAATGGCGGCAGGGCCCTTGAATTAAAGCTTGTCGAATGAGCTTTAGTTCAAAGGTCCCTGCTGCCATTTTCAAGTGTGGGGATACTGATACATGAGACGTTGCTGTGTTTTAATTAGGGTGGCTCTGAGAGCCGCTTTAATTAAAACACTATTCCCCCCATGCCATTGGAACATGTGTAAAAGTGCCCTTAGAGACCTGTTTGAACTTGTCCCAAGACACCTCTTTGTCAAGGTCTCTTAGGAGGACTTAGCAGTCAGGTGCACACATCTGAGCACTAAAGAGGAGCCTCTGCAGTGTTTTCTCTTTTCTTAACAGACCTCCACTGTTTAGTATCCTGGAGTTTCATTGAGGTCATGAAACTGATCAGTTTGATCTGCTTGTTGTGGCTGATGTCTAGGTATGCAGCAGATTAAAAAAATCCATCTAGCATTTTGCCCTTTCAAGTTTCCAGTGACCTTTTGATCTATACTTTGTCTTTGCTTCTTTTTTCTTCCTCCCCCTCTTCCATTCTTTTTCTTCTTTTCCTCACTTCTTCCTGCTTGAGGATGTGGGTCCGGTTACTTTTTAACTCTCAGGGTGGGGCCCCTCACAGAGGCTGATATTCTGACAGTGATCCTCTTGGGAGATAAGTGCCATCCTTTGTGGCTGCAGCACCTGCGAGTCTCTGCTCCGATTAGCTGAGTACAGGATTAGTATCAAAGGCCATGTTGCACACTACACTTAGGATGTGTTAACTGCACTTAAAATGGTAGCATCTATGTATTCATGTAGTAAAACATGGACTAAGTGTGATTCGAGCATAGCATGTTTATGACTTCTTGTGGGAGGAGTATCTCTTGATCATATCAAGTAACACAGGTTCAGCTACCTTTGGGCTGCTTCACAGAGATAATACAAATTCAAGATGGGTGCAGTGCAGGGTTTGTACTGACAATAGTTGATTGTCAGTCCTAGCTTCAGCACTGCATAGGAGCTGGATAATCACCTGATTGTTGGTCCCAGCCTTAGCATTGCACCAGAGGCAGTTCAAGACTGGTGTAGTGTGGGGCTGGACCTGACAGTTAGCCGATTGCCAGTTCCAGCCCTGGCACTTCACTGGAGCTGGTTCAAGACTCCTATATAGTTCTAGGGTTGTAACCAACAATCAGTGAGCTGTGCATGTTGAGAGACTGTAGTAAACATTACCATTTGGATGGTCAGAGTTGAGTTGATTATTAAACAGACCAGGTAGTATACTGTTCACATGACAATAAACTTCCCTGAGCTTTTGCTACCAAACACAAATTTGAGTCATTTTGTGCATACAGTTGTTCTGTATGTTAACTATTCATTTTGGGCTTTTCAGAATTTTAAATGTGTATTAACTTCAAACCCACTCCAGGTTCTGGCTCAGAAGGTGATAAAGATGCCAGTTTACATGGTGGCAGGAGAGACAGTTAAACCTCCCCCATCCATATATATGAAAGGAAGTTCTGGGGGTGATAACCCCTATATTCAAACTCCTTCAATCTCCCCCTACCCTAGTCTAACTGCACCATTCTTGTTGCCCCATCTCCTCTGTCTCCCATCCCTCCTGTTCTCTCTGCTCCTTGCTAACCCCCCACCACTCTTCTCCCCTCCACAACCTATTTATAACACCCCACCACTCTTCTCCCCTCCACAACCTATCTTCATATATACTCTCTCCAAAACCTGCCTCCCTTTATTGCAGCCTCACCCCTTCTATTTCCTGCTCTCCCCTCCCCTCAACTGCTTGACCTTCATACTTTCCCAGAAAGCATTGTTACACATATGGGTTTTTTTTTTTAAATAGCTTAAATGACTCTGAATTTGCTGCAGAACTCAAGTGGCACTTCCCCAAATGAAAATAAAGCCTCAACAGAGGTAGATTGTATTGACCTGTTCACATATTTTTCATAGATATTAGTTGAGGGAGTTCAAATTTGTGTTATTCAAGGATTACTGGGTTGATAAATCAGCTCATGTAGTCTTGCACATGCACATTGCAATTTGGTTCGTGTGGACCAATCCATATAACCTAGCTCTTCTAATTTAGGCATGCTCCTAATATCACCTCTCTGATATGGCAACAGGTGCTATGCTTAAGTGAAGATAAATGTTGAACAGCTGAGTGCACTTTATGGGGGTGGAGATAGTGAGTGTCTTTTTGTCTGTACTTCCCTCTCATGTATTGGAGAAGTGAGTTAGAGCTACGTGAAGAGAAAATCCAAGGTAAAGAGAGTCTGTTTCAAAGTTTGGGACTCAGCTTCTTTTCCTCCTTTAGCTTTTTTTCTGGATTTTGAGTGGGTTAATATCATGGGGGTATGAATTGCTGGAGCATGCTGGCTTGGGTTGGAGCCTGGCAATTTTGCTTGCAGTTTCCGGTCTGAGTTAAAGACTTAGCAAGTTTGAGCTAGGGTGAGATCTGGCACAGTTTGGGCTAGGGTGAGGGGCCTGAGTGGCCTCGGCTACACAGGTAAGCTGAAAAACAACAGCTGCAAAACAACAAAGTGAGTGGGGACAGTACACTAGCTGGTCTGTTTAATAATCAGTTCAACTCAGTGAAACTTTCCAGGGCAAGGTAACAACTACTTGCATGAATTATGCCCTGCTACATTGCAAAAGAAACAAATCTTGTGGCCTTTTTATTAACACCCCAAATATTCAAATTTTCATGTCCATGCTTAGCTATTTTTCTGTTCAGGTATACATTTCTACTTGTCTTTTTGCCAACTTTATAACTGGCCCATTCGATTCTTATCTGTGCATGTGCCCTCAATTCATTGCTCCTATTACTGCTTTCTCATAGCATCCTCTCTGCTCATTAATGGGCTTCTACTTTTTACATTTCTTCTCAAGTCATCTAGAGGTAAGTAAGGCCTGTTTTTCCTGAGCTCTCTATCAAGGCTTTAGCATAACTACAGCTTGGCTTAACCGGAAGTCCCATAAACTACACTTAAAGTTAAGATGCATACCCCATGCATAGGAGTGCAAGGAGCGGGTAGAAGAGGGCAACTCCGATAACTTGAGACAGGCGTATTTAATGTACCAGGAGCATGGCTAGAGACATCTAGCTGACCAAAGGCAAGAAGTATGGCTTGGGGAGAGGCTTAAGGCAGAATTCTGTTCCATTTAGTAGGTAATCAGAGTGCAACTTGAGGCCAACTCCAATTCACCCAATTGAATATAAATGCCTATTATAGGAATAGGGAGGTATCTGTGCTTATCCAGAGGGTAATTCCTTCTACTTAGGTGCCAGAGAGGGTAATAGAATTACACCTATACAACAGTTGGCAAACTCAGAGTTGATTGCCAACTGCACTTTAGCCATTCAATGGGGGAAATAATATTCTTCCTCTAGTGCTTAAGCAAGGTCTAGTTCAGAGTACTGTGCAGGCAACAACCATGATGAGTGAGTGACGCACCAGCAAGCTGACATCTATGGAGTTTAAGGGCAGAAGACAAGCACATTAGTTTTTGTGCTAATTACTTCTACAGTGGTAATGGATGAATGGGATGGGAAGAAGGTGAGATGAAGATGATGGTGGGGGACCGTATGTTGGAGAGGATGGTGAAAGAGTAAGAGCAGGAGAAGATGGATATAACAGTAATGTTTTTGGTGCTTAAAGTTAATGTGACAGTTGTGTAATGAAGCTATTGAGATTTAGTTATATGGATTATATCCCTGATTTCTTTCACAGCTTCTCTTAGCAATTCCACATGCTAAACTTTGTTATCCTTGAATAGGATTTATGTTTACGCATTGCAAAGTGCACAGAATAAGAGGAGGGGTATGCAGGCATTACATTGAAAGCTGTGCTATCATCAAGGCAATAATGGATTGACTCTGAGGAGACCAGGGTTCTAGTCCTGACTCTGCACTGATCCACTGGCTGCTTTGGGTGCTTTCCCTGTACTTCACCTCCTTTTTCTGTAGAATAGGGATCATAGGAAAGTAGGGCTGGACAGGACCTCACAAGGTCATTTAGTCCACCCCCCTGCTCAAGGTACTATCCTGCCTTCTGATAATCGTTCAGAGTTTATGAATTAAGGGGTACCTACATCATGGGGTTAGATACACGACATGGTTAATACAGGGCAATTTATGCCAGATGTTATTCCATTGTAAATTTATTCTTTAGTAAGGAGTGGACACATGGATAGCTAGCTTCAGAGAGATGACCATGGTAGGCACTATTGCAAAACCTGGCCACTAGGTGATGGAGGAGTCATTTTAAGTTGAGCAAATAACTACTTGGATGAAGCTGACTGGGGTAGTGGACACATAATCAATATGTGTGTAACTTATACCAATGTATGGTTATTTCTCACTTTCCAACTGGCAACTTCATCAAAGAGTAGAATGAATCGCACCTATGTTAGTGTAATTTTTGCCATGGAATAAAATCAAGTTATGCTGAAGTAAATGTGTTGTGTGTCCATATAGTACTACTGAAGGATATTCATAATATAAGCAGTAAGAACTGTTTCTAGCAGGAAGCCTTGGCCACTATTGACAGTCACGTTAGTGGTCGTGGTGTTATGATGCATCTCTGATGTTCCCCTTGAGCATTGTTGGTTCTAGAGAAGAAGATGTCAGTTTCTTTGCTTTCTGGTACATCTAATCCCAGTGATAGTCTCAGGTCTGCAGTTTGTGTGGAGTTTATAACTCCATGTGTTTTGAGTTTTACAAGCTTTTTTTTCTTAATTAGTTATTGCTAATGATCAGCACTCAATGTCTCTGTCTGCATTTCTCAATAAGACAGAATCATTTTCCATAATATTGTGCACCAAATGGCGGTTACACGATGGTCCGATAGTATAGCGAATGTGACATCAGAAGCAGAGTTGTCTCTCATATATGGTCACAGCCAGAGTTTGACAATTTCATTGGAGGTTTAGGCTGTGAAACATTTGCGATAAACCCTCTGATAATGTCTAAAAAGGTGAAACTAGTTTCTATTGGTTCTTCCCTGCAGCTGATACCAGTACCTGAATCTATATATTTCCTCCCACTGCTTTGTAGTGCCTGTCAGACACAGAAGAGCCCTGACAGTGTGAAGTGCAGGCAGGGCGTTGTCAGCAGGGGATGAGGGTCAGGATGGCAGTGAAGGGACATCTCTGCACTCAAGTTATTTGGCTGCTTCTCCTTTCTGTTCAGTTCACTATGGGTAAGTCTCTGCTTTATTTCACTGAATGAGCTTGGCAAACTAGAACTGGGAGGATAAGTGCGACTCCAAGACACATAGGGTTTTATTTCAGAAATCCCTGAAGCAAAGAGAAGAAAGGCAACCAAGTTACAGTAAAACTATTTCTCTGATTATCTCCTCTTGGTGATCCTGAGTAAAGATGGTTATGCCTGGATAAAAATAAATTTTTTACTCAGTCACTGATTATGTATATTTTATACCGCTGTGATCCCATCCTGTTAGCCTATTCTTATACCATTTCACTTGGTTTTAGTAGCTTCAATATTTAGAAAATCCTTGCTAAAAAAATAACCACATGGAAAATCAAAATCATTTTTGTACTGTTTTAATCCCATCTCCCTCCCTTGCCCAGCTCTGTGCCTTTGTATGGACACTGAATAAGCCTAGATGTACAGTCAACACACTCTGAAATAAAACTACTCCATTCTGCATCAAATACGTTGGGCTAACTCCATCATGGTTCCAACAGTCTCTCTCTCTCTCTCAGGGTATGGAACTGCATGCCTGTGAATTTGCTACCACTTAAAACACCACTGTTCTGGAGCTGTAGTATAACCAATTGAAGCTGAAGATGAGAATCAGATTTTGGAGCCTCCAGAGCCAAATTATAGTCTCCCAGTCAGTGTTTACAGATCACAGATGCTTCTGCAAGGTCTGTGTGGCTGGGAAGGCACAAGCAGTAACTGGGGACTCCAAGAGCAATGACATTTTCTGGAGCAATTAATAAAAAACTTGAGAGAGAATTTGCTGAAATCTGATCTAATGATCAAACTGGACTTTTTACTAGAGGGAAATAGCAGGGCATTCCACTGGCTAACAGGATTGACATCAATTGGGCAATGAGCCATCTGAACTCATAGGGCCATATACTCTCTCTAAGTGGGTGTGACTCCTTTTAACTTCAGTAAGCATCCTGTAGGGAGAGAAGGCTGCTATGGACTCTGCTCATTAACAATTTGTTCAGTAACCTTAATAGGTCTTGGTTAAAAAGTTGCCTTTCTTTTAGTTTGATTTTGTGTCAGAAGAGCAGCCTCAAATTTATTCTGTAGGTTGTGTCCTTTAAATAACGGATACAACTCTGCATGAGACAATAAGCTAGAATCTGGCTATCACTTTCTAAACATAAGCCTATGTGTGATAACTTGGAGCAAATATGATTTCCAATAAAATATTATCAGTAACATTACTATTGGGAGCACCTCCGGCTCCTCTTAACACTTCTTAAAAACGAAGTCCATGGACTTCAGTGTGCTGAAAACTTTAAGTTCTCTTAAACTGGGGGTGATTGAGGAATCAACCTGTTTCTTTTTATTCCCAAAACAGCTATCAGAAATTAAGAAAATTAGCTCTGATTAAATTATCTCTGAATTTTAAAGATTAAATATAATTCAAATGTTCAGCACTTTTCAATACTTTCAGTGAAACAATGTTATCAAAAGCTTTGTGTCCTATAAGATACTTCTACTTGCCCAGGCTGTCTTCTAGTTTCATGAGGATTTTGTCTCTTGTCTTGGGATCATAACTAAATAATCCTCTTTTGCCACTTATAGATTGTTGAATCTTACCATTGTACACAGTGCTGAGTTTTCTTAATTAAATTTATGGATGGAAAAGGACTTTAAGACAATTTCTTTAACAATATGTTTGATGATGCATTTACTTTAATAATCCTCCTATAACTTCCATGACTTGAATCACACCAACTGAATTAAATATGAGATCATCCATCTCTCTTTGTGTCTTTTTGTGATGACTGATTGGGAAAAGACCAAGTTACAAGCCACATGCAGATGGAATTGGTGAAAACTCTTAGTGGATGGCACCATTAACTTGCTCAGTAGTGGGAGATTAGATACTGGCTGGTAGCCACATCAACTATACTTTCTGGAATAATGTTCAGATTATGGCATGCTTAAGGGATAATGGGGGAAGAGGTTAGGACTGGGAGATTCCCTGCTCAGAGGAAGTGTTGATGAAGTGTGTTAGTTTGTGTTCCAAATACTCTCAGTCGTTTCACTAGTCGGGAAGGACAAGAGTTAAAGTTGGTTGGTGGTGACTAGGATGTTCTAGGATCCTCCTTGATTTCCTGTTTTGCTGAGGTCAAATATAGAGATGGAAGATGCCATTCCACTGGACTCCTGTGCAGGCTGTTGTTCTTGGTTCCTTGAGAAACTACCTGGGATACAGAAAAACTCTTGTAAGAGCTAAACAGAAAAGCAGGGGTTGACCCTGGAAGTAACTGCTCTTTATAGCAGAAGGTGCTGGGCTCCAGAGCTGTTTGAGCACATAATAGGTACGTATGTCAGGATGAAGTTTTAGATCAGACTGGCAACACTCTCTTTTATTGACCCATAAGCAGCTGAGTTAATTTTAAGCCACTGACCGACATGGTGTGTGCCCCGTAGCTCAGTTGGGATGAGCTAAACTAGGTGTTTTTTATTGCAGAATGCTCTCAGAAATGTGTTTTCCTACAATCTACTCCTTTTTCTGTGGATGGGAAGCAGGAAATAACATTACTGACATCTTGCTATACCTTGAAAGTCTCTGCCATATGGCTAACCATCTGTGCTCCTTTTGTAAGTGATATTTTCACTAGCATGTCGAAGATGTGTTTGAAAACACACATTGTGTATTAGCTGCAGATCTGAAATCAAAGAGAGATTCCTAGTTACAGGGCCTAGGAATGTCCCTTTTCTTCACAAAGGTATATTGAACAAGACTAATTTTGTCATAGCAATCAGAAGAAGAAACTCAATGATCTCATGATAAATCTTACCATTCAGGAGAAAATGGAAAGGGTCATGGGTGATGTACTTCAGATAGAGGAGTCTGCCTATATTATAGGAAAGAATAGGGTTATTCCCCCAAACTACAATTCCTCTGAGGCCATGTTCTACAGAAGGAAAATGCCTTAAGGTTATTGCTGAGCTGTTTCCACAATTTTTTCACTCTACTGTGAAATTTACTAGAAATTATTGTAGTGAAATCGTAGACCTAATAATAAGATCTGATTTTTATTTTTTAAAATATTTTAAAAATTTTTTTGGCAGAATGTTTTTGTTACAATGTCAATTCTCCCATAATAAATATCAAAACAAAACATTTAATTTCATTGTGCTCTCAAATGATTTTTTTACTTAATCTTTTTGGTTTAAAATAAATTAAGCTTTTAGTTTCTTTCAAAAAGTCAAATAAAAAATATTTTTGCATTGAATCAACGTGAAGTTTCCAGAAAAGAATGTACATTTCTTGACTGAAATATAAAAAACAACTTTGATCTGAAATGTCTCTCAGGAGATATTTCACTTTTCTGATATCATTGCAGTTTTGTGTCAGTTCTGTTGGACTTTAAATCAGTTCTGATTTTGGATAGAGGTAATCAAAATGGTATCTGCATGCCTTTCTATCCTGCCTTATTTTTTGGAAACTCTGGGGGATTGACCGAGTCCTTGAGAAGGTGTCACCCCTTTAAGGAGCTTCCCTGTTTTACTGCATGCTAAATGCACCAGATGGGTAATCTCTATCTTGGTGAACACCTTGACTAAATCTTCCTTGTTTATGCACGGCCTGTTCTAAGCTTGACAGAATCGGGGCTCAACAGATATCTTGGGCTGTGTGTAGATGAAGTGGGGGGCATGTGTACATGACACATTAAAGTGGGTGAAATGCTTTTGCGCGGCTTTAATGGTGTCGGTGTTTGCATGCATCGGCAGTGTATTGCACAGTAATTCCAGCTGCTGGAGCAAATTTGGTGGCGTAATGAGCCTTAAATGACTTGGGGTGCAGCAAACTAAAACTCCTCTGAGGAGTTTCAGTTTGCTGCCCTACAGCTACAGAGCAAAGCACTGGGGCTCTGCAGGAAGCCCTGCAGACAGCCTGGCAGCAGCCTGGGAAGGCAGGCTCCGCCCAAGAAAAGCGGTGAGCCTGATCTTTTTTCCCCTGGAGCATGCCTGCCTGAGATGCGTGGGGGCCCAGTGCTTCCTTCTGTGGCTGCGGTGCCCCCTGGGACCGCTGAAGCTGGGTGCCTGCAGGTGGGTGCCTCCTGGGGTGGAGGGGTGCTGCTGTGGAGGGAAGCATTAGCCCCCCCACCCTGCAGCCCAGAGACTGCTCTGCCCACCGGTAGCTCGCCTTCCCCGCCCATCCCCTCCCTGCCCCCGGAGAGACAGGTAAATTCAGGTGTGTGCATGACACGGGGGTTTAAAGGGCACTGAATTGCAGCGGTGTTTTTAAAAACCCACTGCTTCAATTTGGGGCCCCCATTTTGTCTACACACGTCCTTGGGTAACGTGCATCAATTCACTTGCCAGACCTCTTTTCCATACCAGCCATCCCAATGTTCCATCACTCTATATTGATTCAGTATGTTTCTCTAGTACATCATTTTTCTTCATCCTATCCTGTCCATGATTTTCTTTGGGTAGTACAAGACAGAACTGTAACTTCTTACCGCTACTAGGCAAAATGACCAACAAAAATAAAAAAGAGAGAGGCCACCCAGTGTTCACACAGGCCTCTAAAGGCAACCTCCCCAACTGTACGATCATTTCTTTCATCAAGGCATGACAGGTGAGGCAAGAGGGCAGTAGCCAGTGGGAGACTAGGGTGGGTAGGTCAGGATTAATGCAGCCACCATGGCCACCCTCTGAGGTGAATCCTGTTACCTATTTTACCTTTGCTGTTGCTCTGCAGTATTGATCTCACTTGACTTTGAGGCAAACATGACACATTTTATTTCATATGGAGCCATCGCATCTGGAGTGATTACAGACCCGTAGACCTACTGTAGAGGGTCAGAAGGCTGTATTAGGTGGACAAGGATAAAGATTGGATAGCTCTAGAGGCAGATTACAACATGCACAATACAGCTGTGTGGGTCTCTGTCTCAGTCATGCCACAGATTATCAGCAGTGGGCCTGATACTTCTCTTTGGAAAAAAGAGAGAGAGGAGCCACCAAGCTTCCAGAATACAGACAGAGTTGGGGAGAGGCTGGGTACACTGCAGCAGGGAGGAGACGGGCTGAAAGCCCAGTTCAGCTATGGGAGGCAGTGACACAGACGCCTTTTGCTAGAGAAGTTTGAAAATGGGCATGCAGGCAACTGGCCTTGCTGCATCAGAAAGTTTGAGTGGTTCCAGATGGCT